GGAAATGGAAACAAACAGAAGAAATTGGAATATTATTCGTAAGAATTCGGAGACAGAATATATAATTTAAATATTATTAACGGGCCAAAATATTATGCTTGGATTGAATAGAACGATTTTGTTCGATTGTTTGTTAGTTTTCGTACTTTCAGAGACTATAATCATCAAATCGCGTGCATATGATGCATACGACCATTTATCAACCAGAACTATAACAGGTCCAGAATTATCCATCTTGCCCTTATGTGTTTAACATTAAAGAAAAGAAAATTTTCATATTCTTCTTTCAATCAATATACTGATTCCCAGTACCCAAAGGAAACGAGAATGGACTGAACCCGACGGTACTGCAGTGTCGTTCATAAGACCAGCACGACTTGCAAACTGACGGAAACACATACTACACTTTCATCTTAGCCGATAAGCCCGAGAAGTGACAACTAAATATGCAAACACAATCTTCTTTTGTACACATTGTCCATACACATTCAAAGTCTTTCAACTATTATCTAACCATTATTCTCATAACTTTTCCGAGTATGAAAAATTCACTATCTTCCATTACTCGGAATATAATTGATTTCTTCCAAGTCTGCATCAAGTAGAGAACAATCTAGTATTTCCGAAATTACAATATTATTCAGCATGATTCATAGTAAGTAGATATTCCATGTTTCTATAGATATACATTCCCGTCTATCATGTTCAATGACCAAGATGCATATAATGATTTCATCACGTCTTTTCATCTGAACTTGTAGAAACTTACAGAGTGATTTGCATATATCACCATGCTCCTATACTGTTAATTATTTATTTAATAAAAGGTGTTGCTCTGGCAGATCTGTATTGCCACAAATCCGCACGTTTCCGTCATCGCAACATGATTTGCACCAGATTTTTTTTCTTAAATCGAGAAAACATGTATAGATATAGAACCAAAAACAAGGAAAACAAAAACAAAAACAAAAACAAAAATAAATAGAACTATACTTCACTAACGGGTAAACAACGATTAGAATTATTAACGCAAATTATATTTGAATATGTTTCTTCAGCTACTTATTTAGCATGAAAAAATGTACAATCAGGACTAGAACGTGCTATTGCATCTAATATAAATGTTTCTTCAGTTGGTGATAAACTATGACAAATAAAATTTGAATACATTACAGTTGATTGATCGGTAACATGTCCAAATAAAATAGAGAATAAAAAATTGTTTAATGATTGTTTAGGTTCATTTTTAATAGTAATTCGACGTATTTTTGTATTTGATAAATTTATATCATCTTCTAATTTTCGCTTCATTTTTCCTTGACTCATCATTATTGGAATAAATTGTCGATTATTTTGTAACGGTGGCATTGATAGAATTGAATCTTCGACAATATTGGAATTTATTTCATCATGATCGTGTTCATCATCATCATCAGCATCATTATCATCATCAAAATCAAGTTGAAAAAAAATCAAATGTTACACCCTTACGCATATTATCAGCTAATTCAAGTCTTTCGGGAAGGATTCGAACATTTAAGAACTTTTGATGCTTGTTTTATTGCTTCTTGAAATGATTCTAAATTTGCTAATGTTATATTCATATCATATTGACTTCGTTTATTTTTAATAACGATTTCAGAAGCTTTTAATTCTGTAATATGTTTTTTAAATTCAGCAACATCTTCATCTGGTTCTAACCATTTACGATCAATACCTAAGCCAAGACTTAATGTTCCAAAGAAAAGTACTTCATAGAGAGTTCGAGTTGCTTTATGTGTTTTCTTCCATATTATATCTGGCCTATGGATATTTTTTATATTTACACTATACAACACTACCACGTTCATATAGAAATTGTGATGAATAATGTTGGCCAGTTGTTGATGATGAAGATTTACTACTTGTACTAATACTTTTTATTTTATTTTATTTTATAGATGTCTATTAAACATAATAACAGTAGAAACAACAAACAGCAGATATTTATAAATATAATATGTATGATCATTGATCAAAACGAGTTTTACGTTTTTCACCGCCCATATGAGGATTCATCGATGAACCAACACCAAGTTGATCAACTTTTTTAACACCAGGTATAAAGCCAATTTTTGTTCGTTCTTTTTCTCTACGATGTATTTCAAGTTTTTGTGCCTTACTTAATTCTTCATAATAAGATTCTTTACCCCACCAATGTGGATCATATAATTCTTGTGGAAAATTTGTTCCTATTTCATCAATATCCAAATAAGAAATCATTCTTTCATACATATATGGATTTCGAAAATCTTTTAATTCTTGTATACGTACATTGTGATCAACATCTGTTTTTTTAAATCGTTTATATTCTTCAAATTTTTCTTGAAAATTAGTTGAACACCTCTTAGTAGATTCTGGTGGTATACGAATGTCAGCATCTTCGAAAAATATTAATGGATAATTAGGTGTTAAATCAGTACGACATGATGATGTTTCTTCTGGTTTGAGAGGTGTAACATTTAAAACATCAGATGTAACAATTCTTTGTTCAGTAAATGTAGTTGTTTCAATTTGAACCAAATCATTTTCTTCAGGAGCATGTAATATAACTGCACTATGTGAATTTGAATGCTCATCTCCTCCATCTTGTTCTTCGTCTGTATGTTCATCATCACCTGAATCAGCTTCATAACTAACCAATGAAGATTTATTCTTTGGTAACAGAGGTTTATGTGTAGTTAAAGGTTTTTTTGTAATGGTAGTTGGAAGAGTTGTTGAATTCGGGGTTGAATTAATACTTTTTCGTCCACGAGGCATGGTTTGGAAAGTTGTAATAATGAACTGATCTAGAGTTCTTGTGAGGCACGATATCTGGTCTGTCTCGACACAAATCGTATCGACAAATGTAGAAAGAAAGGAGGAAAATGTAAAGACGTGGCGAATGTCGTGATTTGCATAGTCAACAGAGAAGTTGCTTATTACATTTGATCAAAAGGTAAATGATCAACTGTGATCAAAAACATGTTGCAAATACGAAAATATGCAGGATAGCAGCTATAGGGTGTGGGTGCGGGTATGGATTCAGAGAACAACCACACCGACACCCAACTTCATTTGCCACTTAAACCAATGCTTAGAATAGTTATAATCCTAAGTTAAGAAAAATGAAATACGCAAACGAATAATAATGAGCGAATAGCAACAATGTCAACAAAAGCTACAGGGCCCGTAAACAAAAAGAAAAAAATTCTGTTTTTTTTTATATTGCTGCTAGAAGCAGTCCTTTTTGTTGGGGCAAATAGCTAAGTAATATTTAAATAAGGAAGAAAAAAAAGGTGAAGATAGGAAGAACAAGAATAACAAAGGTGAAACGTTACTATGATGAAAAGCAACAAACAATGTCATTTGACAAACTGCCGACCCGTCTCACATATACAACATTCGACCAAGTTGGAAATTACAGTCACTGAAATATAATCGGTACGCAAAGCTTTGATTGCTTCGTTCTAGTGAATAAGATATAACGATGATTCCTAAGTTCAAAACAAGCACTCGTAACATCATAAACATGACAAACATATAACCGAAACGTTAATTACAATTAGTTGAGGCAGAAATGAAATCAATAACCATGATGAACTTCCGTTTATCTTATCAACTGATGATTGTTTCTCAGTCATCGACCTATTGAATTTACTTTCCTATATCCATCGCACACATAGTTATTAATTTTATTGTTCCTCATTCTAAAATTTCGTCTAGGGAGGATGTGCGTGTAGATAGCTGTGGGTGTGATTAGGTGTTGATGTGGGTGTGAGTCTGACAACGAAAACACGACCCACACACCCATACCCACACCCACATCCTTCAACAATGAATAGTTTGATGTACAAAATAGTGTATTGTGGAACAGTGTCATTTCATATCTGACTTTGAGAATATAAAGGAAATCACGCTCCTTTTATTCTAGATTTAGAACTCTCAAATGGCTAGTAACAATATTACAGAAAAAAGTCCTAATTTTTGCTTTGCTGATGTGGATGTATTACCAAAAGGTATGTTGTCAGCGATAGAAGGTTATCAGAAAATGCCATTGGTGACGTTTGAGGAAGCTGTGAAACCTCTTATGAAAATTGTACCTGAAATCGAACGAAATGTATTTATAGTCAAACAGAACTGTCAAGAACCAGAAGATGGTTTAACAATTGACGAATCAGCTGCAATTATGCTTTACACCTATGAATGGACACCACATGAAGACTCTATACGTTAAGCTTAACAGAGCTTTACGTTCCGAACAAAGACAAAATTTAATTCCATGGTTTCTGCATCTTCGACTGATACTGACGGCGCTTCATCGTCTTCCGTCAATGCATCTTTCCATTTTTCGAGGAGCCAAAGAAAATTTGTGGACTGAATATCCACAAGGCAAGACTTTTATTTGGTTGGAATTTTCCTTGTGTACTTCATCAATCGAAGTGCTTTTGAATAAACAACTTTTCGAGACGACTGGAAACAGAACTTTATTTCAAATAGAGTGCAAAACAGCAAAAGACATTAAAAAACATTCATTCATGCCCAGCGAAGATAAAATACTTTTATTACCCGCTTCACAAGGGTGTAGGTGTAGGTGGGTGTGGGTGTGGGTGTGGGGTGTGGGGTGTGGGTGTGGGTGTGCGGGTGTGGGTGTGGGTGTGGGGTGTGGGGTGTGGGTGTGGGTGTGGGTGTGGGTGGGTGTGGGTGTGAGGTGGGTGTGGGTGTTTGTGGGGTGTGTGCGTGGGTGCGGGTGTGTGTGGGTGTGAGGGTGTGGGTGTGGATGTGAATGTGAGTGTGGATGTGTGGCTGTGGATGTACATGTTGATCTTCTCTTCACCCACACCCACACTCACACCCACACACCCACACCCACACCTTCACACACCCACACCCACACCCACACCCACCCACACCCACACCCATCCACACCCACACCCACACCCACACCGACACCCACACCCACCCTATAGTGATAAAAATAATTCATTTCGTCAACGAAATAGTATTGTACGACTTGAATGTAGATAATTGGTGATTGTAACAACAAATGCTTATTCTATAAAGGTATTCAATTAATTGCTGGTCGAACATTCGATTCTCAAAATTTAGTTTATTCATATCGTATAATTGTTATACATGATAAAGAAATCAATTAGTTTTTAATTCAACGTTATCTTCGACCAAAAATGCAAATATTTAATTTTAAAAGTTAATTTATTCATCAATTTGATAAACATTTAGAAAAATCATGTACATTAACTGTTTGTCAATCAAATTGTATTCTCAATTAACAAAAACTGCATATCTTGTAATTACACCGAAATATTATTTCATTTTAATCAACAATTACAATTTTTTATTGTTCATTTTTTCAAATTTCTATTTATATGGGGTGTATTAATTGATTTTTCAACAATGAACTATTTATCAAAGAGTTGAGTTTTAACGAGTCTTGAAAAAAAAATGATAAAAAATACTGACGATACATAAAAACAAAATGTTGAAGAAGAATCATTTTAACTTCCTGATACTTTGTCTCCTTTAAATATAGGCAAAGTTTTGTATGTTACTCCAAGAAGACTTGTAATGATGACGATGTCCATCGGATTAAGATAAATTACATATTATTTGATCATGTCTTTTTTTAGAACGACAAACAGAATGGTACATTAAGAGCAAATCATAAAACTATGGTCCTAGAAGTCATATTAAAAAATTTTTATTTCAACATTAAACTGCCAAAAGAATTTTTTTATAATTACATTTTAGTATGTGGTTTTTATTTAACATATGTACAATATCTTCCGTTTGCTAGCGTTTTGTTTTGTATGCAGCTTAACTTGAATAATTGTTATGAATAGACGATCAATGGTTAAAGAAAGTAATAATTAGTAAGATATCGGTTTTATTTAATAAAATATTTTGAAATCATCAGACATTAATGAATAAAAGAATCGCTGATTATGATCTTTTTCAAGACTAGAATGATATTTGGGAACAATAATGATCAGAGAAATATTTCAGATTAATGGAATATCTAATGTGAGAAAATGTTCGTTTGCAAAAAATAAAAATTGATGATGATATCAATGTAAAACTATTGACTGATACGTTTGTTGATCTTTGTGAAGATTCTCTTTTTCGAATTCATTTTTCTATAGGCCATTTAAAAAATGTTCCTAGACAATTTTCAATATTTAACTGATTTATCAGAAATATTTAAATAAAAATGAATGCATAATGAAATTTTTTATCATGCAATCGTTTTGATTATTTTTAAGATTTTCATATTCCAAATGATAGAATTATAGTGATTGTTGTAAAATGCTGTTATATATTAGAAAATTTTGAATCAAGAACAAGCTGACAAGTTTTATCACGATATAAGCCAAATATATGTCAATATTAATTATAATCTTAGATTTCGATCTATTAGAGAAAAAAGTAAATTCTTATAAATAATAATTGTCTGTATTATTCGGTGATCTGTATTTATTATCTATATGATTAATATATTCTGAATAAGTTTGTCATTGAAAATGATGATTGTAATGGGGTTTTGTTTTATTACTTTTCGAACAACTGACTATTGGTGTTTCCCTATCGGAAGATTTTCTTTTTGGAATAGAAACATCGAATAATTCAATAAATATGCCTGCTCCTATTGACAAAATATGGTCAAATCATACATAATAATATTTAACATCATATTCATCTTTGATTCCAATATAACAAATAAATGGTGTGTTTATATTTTTAATCTTTCATCTGATCATCAAAATGAATCAAAATAAATAGAAAAAAATAAGGGTAATTATTTTTTATTACTATTATTTCTTCGTTTAGCTTGAAGATATCATCCAATTATTTTACTATAGTATTAATAAATATTTTTTTGATTTTCCTGATTATTATTTTAATTTTGAAGAATTTAATTGTTTGTACTTCCTACTGTCTGTATAATTATGATTAATCAACAAACTTAACTGATATTCATAAAAAAACAGATAATTGTATTATTATTCATAAAATTAAAGCATTTTCATGCTCTGATTAATTTCTTTTCTTAAATTCTAAAAAAATAACTAATAAACTTATTATATTAAATCGATCTATGAATTGTCCAGATTGAATAGTGGTTAATATGGAAACACTGTTTTTTACAACAATTTGTTCAAATGTCAGTCTTCATTAGATTGTTATTTGTTTTCGAAAAGAAATTGTTATAATCAAAAACATGGACAATTCATTACCTATTTGATTATCAACAAAAT